TAGTCAGAATAGCGACGGTTATCTGGTAATTAGTTCCAAATCACTGAGCCAAGTTCCGTCCAAAACTTCAAATAGGCCTAAACGATGACAGACATAACACAGCCATTCGCTAATAATCAACTAATTAAGTCGGTCAACTGATACGCGGAAACTAATTCATGACACAAACTTCAAGGTTCCACAACTAGTCTGATTATTTTATTTTATAATAGACAAAACACAAAAAATACAAAGAAGGATAATCAAAATAACCGGTTACGACTGAAATAACAATATATCTAAAAGTGTAGCAAATTACAAAGGTTTTTCTCAAAACTAGATTTAAATGAGGAAACAAAGGGAAAACTCGTAAAGCTCAATGATGAAAGAAATAACACGGGTCCCGGTGTAACTAAAACTAAACTATGTATTTAGTTTTAATTTATACTGAATATAACTGTTTTTATGATCTAGTATTATGAATATGGATTGGTCGTTGGGTTTAAAGGGCGGTGGTCGTCGTGCAGCGTCGTGTTCGATATAGAACTCACAGCGACTTAAAACACAATGTTCGTTTACATTAAATTCCAACAGATGTCGCCTGACGGCAACCGCCCTTTAATTTAAAAGCGTCATGATAAATATTATGCTCAGTTATTGATTTGTATTTTAGGGTAGCTAAATATAATTTACTTCTGTTCTATAGACTGAGCCTGTTAACTAAACTAGTAATTTCTTTGAGTGTCACTCTTTGCTCCCGAAATAATAGACATGCCATGTGTAGAAGCAATAGACTACATGTGTCCATTTAAAATACAAATGTATCACAATGTTCAAAGTATGGTAAAATAAAACTATTAAAAATGGTAAAAAGAGATGATTTTGACACAGAGCGTAGAACATCGAATTTAATACATAAAATTTTACTGGCCCTTTTTTTACAAATTCAATTTGATGTGAGGTTCCCATGGCAGCGAACTATCTACAATCGCCCCCAAGTTATTCAAGCGAGGCGATGCTTGGAGAATAGACCACTTTCGCGGAAATAGTGAGACTGGGGTGCAAGAATGATGCCCGATCTTTGTATGGTGCAAATACAAACATCATGTCACTCTGTTGATAATCGATAAAAGAGAATCTTATTTTTGTCACGTCGATTGGTACACCCGACAGCACAGTATGACACGTGCAAGTTTACGTTACACCCCAAAACGGTATGCGCGCGATTGTGAAACGCCGTATCTTCAACTTCCGGGAAAGTGGTCTATGGTTGTAGGTTGAAACCTCTACTGGCTTGTGTATCCCAATTTAACTGAATCAGCCATTCATATGTGGTCCAATACTAGCCGTATAACATTGTATTGTCATACTAGCAATACGTGTGTAATATAAATGGGAGTTCCCTCAACGTATTTTCACAGTTTGAAGACTATTATTGAATTTATCAGATATTAATTTTCATCATTTTCACCTATGTTGCAGTGTATTTAAAATATTCATATTCACATAGATCGCCTGGTTCCAGCGATATTCTTGCAAATTGTGTGGAAATGTCTGTCATTAACAAATCTTTTCAGTCCGTGACAAACATCGCCCTCCATCTTTCTATTTCCTATATCTAACAAATTGAATATTGACATTTCCATGGACTTTATAACGAGATTTGCAAAATGTCGGATTTCCAGCATAAGTTGACGAGAGGGCGCTGTACTAAAACTAATTAGACATATTGGCATATTCTTTGGTTTCAATTTATTAGGGGAATTTCCGTTCACTGCGAAATCTCGCGTGTTGGTGAAAGACGAGAACGTCAAATGATTTGATTTTGAACTTGATTTTCTCTTTTTTATAGCTCAACGTGGAAATGCAATCATGATGTACGGGGTTTTCTGAAGTACCCCTCTCATCTTGACAATTAAATCACAAACTTGAACAATTCAACATTCTTTATAACATTTAATACAAACACTTTATAAATATTAAGACTATTGTCCAAGAACTAATATCGTCTCCTAATAAATTGAGGTCAATGACCCTATGGCTAGTCAGCTCTAGCTGTCAAATTCCATGTATGGATTTTCCTCTTCTTGTGTGTTCCGTGTTGTTATGGGAACTTCATACAGATCGTCATCATCCCTGGAATACAGTGACACGTTATAATGTTAAAGGGCGGTAGTTGTCGCGCCACGCATGCGCGAGATATATGGGTCTCATATAAACAAAGATGGCGACTTTGACTGTTGCGCAGATCAACTAGTACAAACTGAGACGTTACTAAGCTTTAATTAGGTATTTTTTAGGTGATTGGAAGGTATCGAAGAAGTCACCCGCGATAATTAGTGCAAGTCGCGCCCAGGTCAAACCTCATACTTGTGATTTCCATTAGTAGAGCGCATTGGATTGTGGGAAAATCAATATTTATCAACACAAATGTCGCACTTGCGCAGCGCGTTTAGTTAAGTGAACATGGCATCGTATCTAATGGAATATATCTAACTGACTATTTACCTGTAACTTTTTGCACCCGGAGCAAGCGGTGCTGGGTAATCTGGTTGACTCCTGCAACAAATCATATCAATATTAGATCTGGTCGTACGG